CAATCAGACCTAGATAGGTTACAGGGATGGGCGGATGAGAAAAGGATGGGATTCAACACTGACAAGTGCAAGGTGATGCTCCTGGGGAGGAAGAACCAGCACCATACTTACAGGCTGGGGAACTCCCTTCTCATCAGTGCAGAGGCAGAAAACGATCTTGGAATCACTACTGATGGCAAAATGAACATGGGCCGGCAGTGTGGGGATGTGGTTAGGAAGGCCAACCACACCTTGTCATGCATCCACAGATGCATCGCAAGCAGGTCCAAGGAGGTGATCCTCCCCCTCTGTGCAGCACTGGTCAGGCTGCAGCTGGAGTACTGCGTCCAGTTCTGGGCACCGCACTTCAGGAGGGATGTGGACAACATGGAGACAGTCCAGAAGAGGGCCACTTGCATGATCGGGGGCAGCAGGGCAGGCCCTACGAGGAGAGGCTATGGGACCTGAACCTGTTCAGCCTCCACAAGAGAAGGCTGAGAGGGAATCTGGTGGCCTGTTACAAACTAGTCAGAGGGGACCAGCAGGCATTGGGGAAGTCCCTGTTTCCCCGAGCACTACCAGGAGTGACCAGGAATAACGGTCACAAGCTGGCAGAGGGTAAATTCAGATTAGACATCAGGAGGTGCTACTTCTCTGTGAGGGTGGCTAGGATCTGGAACCAACTTCCAAGCAAAATGGTGCTGGCTCCTATCCTGGGGGTCTTTAAGAGGAGGCTAGATGTACACCTTGCTGGGGTCGTTTGACCCCAGTACTTTTTCCTGCCATGGAAGGGGATCGGACTTGATGATCTTCTCGGGTCCCTTCTGACCCTACCAACTATGAAACTATGAAAACTCAGGTCTTAAGTCACATTCCTGCCCACATGCATTTCTCTATAAAGACTGCTAGCTCTACCACTACAAAGGACTCGTACAGATTTGTACCTTATTTTCTTGCATACTACATGCCCTATAGGACACACACTTTGTTTGTGGAAGGCAGAACATAGGGGGAAAAGATTTTTTCTAAAGTTACGGCCTAAATATGGCTCTTTCATGAAGAGGCTACGCTGTATGGCTGCCCCTTCTCTGGACAGCAAGCAAGCAGGGCCAGAGTCCAGTGTTATCCCTTTCAGCTTTCCAGATTAAGACACAAACCCAATTTTGGAGGGCTGATTTCTGGGCAAAAGGCACATGCTTGAAAGCAAATTTGCTCCCAACCAGAGCAGTTGAGACCAGGGATGTTTCTGCCCTGCTGCCCTGCTCTATCCCATTGCAGCAACCAGGGGGATCTCCAGGCTCCCCCAGGTGCCAAACAGGGGCTGGCAGGGGAGAGGATGTTTGTCCCAATCCCCACATGGGGAAAGAGCTGTCCCAGCAGCTGGAACTGCTGCATCCCAACCATGTGGGGATCAGACCCAATCTCCACATGGCCAGGAGAGACATTCCCACCTGATGGGGACAGCCATGTGGGGACTGGGAGCGTCTCATCTCCACGTGGCTGGGACAGGCATCCCTGCCTGGTGGGGACACTGCCTGTCAGCCATGTGGGTATCCCTCCCAGTCCCCATGTAGCTATTCCCAACAGGTGAGGGTGCCTCTCCACACCATATGGGGATCAGGACCTTACTGGTTGGGCACGATCTCCTTAGCAACTCAGCAGCTGAGAGGGATCTTGGAGTCATAGCTGACTCCAAAATGAACATGAACCGGCAGTGTAACAAAGCTATCAACAAGGCCAATTGCACCTTGTCGTGCATTAGCAGATGCATGACCAACAGACTGAGGGAGGTGATGCTCCCGCTCTATACGGCGTTGGTCAGGCCGCAATTGGAGTACTGTGTCCAGTTTTGGGCGCCGCACTTCAAGAGGGACATGGAGAACCTGGAGAGGGTTCAGAGGAGGGCCACTCACATGATTAGTGGCTTCCGTGAAAGACCCTACAAGGGGAGGTTGCGGGATCTGGATCTCTTCAGCCTTCACAAGAGATGGCTGAGGGGAGACCTTGTAGCTGCCTATAAGTTTATCAAGGGAGGACAACAGGGAATTGGAGATGTGCTATTTACCAGAGCACCCCTAGGTGTAACTAGGAATAATGGGTGCAAACTGGTGGAGAGTAAATTCAGTTTAGACACTAGGAAGACTTTTTTTTACAGTAAGGGTGGCCAGAATCTGGAATGGGCTTCCAAGAGAGGTGGTACTATCATCTAACTTGGAGGTCTTCAAGAGGAGGCTTGATAGATACCCGGCTGGGGTCATCTGACCTCAGTACTCTTTCCTGCCAGGGGCAGGGTGTCAGACACGATGATCCTTTGTGGTCCCTTCCAACTACAATCTATGAATGAATCTCCACATGGCTGCCAGGCATTATTATGCCTTTTCTGCCCATGTGGAGATCAGGAGCCTGACGCATTAAATGTGTCAGTATTTAGTCAGGAAAAATAGGGATTTGTTTATATATATATAACACGAGTTTTGTGACAGATTGTCATGATCTGATGGTTTAAGATTAGCTGGGCTGCAGACTAGTCATAATCCAGGTACAAGTCTTCTTATTCCAAGTTGGGATAGAAAAATCTTTACACAATAATTTTTTGAATTTCAAGAAGGCTTCATTGCATCTTGCTGCAGCTTTCTTCCATTCATGCCCACAGGTTTAGGATGAGAAGTTTTAAAAACAAGCAGAATACCTGAAGTTGTGGAAGAACAGTTGGCTCCCATGACACAAAAATATACACATTATTGATCTATAAGAATATCAAGGATTTCCCTCCCATAAAATAGAAACTCTTGTTATTTACTGTTACAGGACAAGCACTTATATAGTCATCTTGGGTATTACAGCAAAACTGTGTGCAATATTTTTAACATTTATCCTCTGGAGGGAGATGTCAAGGTTACTAGAATAGTCCTTCAAATTGGTAAAATGTTTATAATGAGAACAGAGGGTACTTTTTGTACGATGATCATTTATGTTGGGACATTGTGGAAAGTATAAACACTTGAAAAGGAACAAAGCTATACATGAAGTTATTTGCATTTATTACTATTAAAAAACCCTCCACCTTCTTGTTTAGAATTCAGGTAGAAAAAAGACAGACAGTTTCAGTATGTTACTTGAAGGGCTACATGTCTATGCAAACTATTTACTAGTAAAACAGCAAACACTGTGGGTAACTTTATATGTGTTCTACACGTTATTTCTGGGATTTCAAAATGGCCCTTCAAGATCACCACACCAGATGCCATAGATGAGGTTAAACAAGAAGATGAGAAGTGAGGAGTTCTCAGCAGAAAAGGAAAGAGGGTCAGCTCCTGACAATGGAATGCCACATGCAAATTTAGTCCTCTACATTTCTAGGACATTTCTGCAAGATATTATGATTGTGATGCTACCATTTGGGCAGCAGTCTTTTAACTGTGGACTCTACCTATCTAAGTACCTGTACCCAGGAACTGACAGGAGTCAGAACAGGAGACAGCTGCTTTCTCTTACCTGATAATCAGATGCTTTGAATCTGCCTCCCAAATGACACTGACCCACAAAGGATAAAAATCCCACCACATTATGCTGCTCAAACAAATACACAACGGAGAGCAAGAGATCAAAATTACAGACTCCATGGACTTCTGTTATGTAGCTTTTAATCTACCAGTGCTGGATTAGCTTTCCAGTATCTAGATATTTGTGCCATTGGATCACCATTACAATTGACTCTATTAGAAACAATTTTTAAAAAAGGACCACAGGACTGAATATGTATGGGCCCCACATCATCTTTACATCACTAAATGGTTCAGCTTGATATACAGTTGCAGCATATGATGAGATGTGGGCCGCTCATGCTGTACCATTTTCATAGTGAGGAAACTGAACTTCAGAGCTGTCAATCTAGGACAATAAATACACTCTAAAAACTGAAAGACAAATATATCCTGACCAAGATTCTGTCATTTTCATTGCAGGGGACTGTGGATTATCCCTTGAAGCAGGAACCAATCTTCACACAAATCCCCATGAAACCTCCTTGACTCAAGAGAGAAGTGATAAGGTGCGATCCATGATACTGTTATACAAATTTATACCAAGGCAGGATGAAATACACAAAATATTTGTTTTGGCTAAGCATAAGCTCATTCAGAGATTATATTTTCCTAGAATCTCTTAGTGATTTTTCTTTATGATTTGTACAGCTTTCCTATTGAATGTACTGTACAATTTATCAAAGGGTTCACCTTCTTTTGACATACCCTACACTGGCCACCATTGGGACCAGGACTATGCTGAACCAATTGTCTTATCTAATGAAACATTTTTTTTCTTAATAAATCTGAGGAATTATATTTAAGATCAATTATATGGGAAAAATATATTAATTAGAAAAGCTGTAAATGTCATAAGAAAAAATGGAAATACAGTAAGATTCGCTTGGTGTTTTAAGTAGGTATTTGAAGGCCATGAAATTCCCATTGCCTTAGGCAAGTAAAAAAAACCATAGAGACCATAGGGAATGAGAGGGAACTCTAGATCATTCCAGTAAGAGTACTTGCTCACTTTGCATTTGTTTCCCTTTCCATTTCAACAGAAAAAAAACATTTTTATATATTATGTTTTAAACAATCATCAGAGGTACCTCATTGTTACTGCAGGCTTTTCCTGATCCATCAGTCATCTGAATTATCATGTAAAGGTAGGCTATCACTAGTAGGGCTGATAAGGTTCTCTGGGTAAATCTGATATCTTTTATTAGAACTATTCAAAAAGTTGGAAAAATTCTTCTTTGCAAGTTTTCAGGTACAAAATACTCTTCATCAGGCTGACGAAGCATCTGCAGTTGGTGTGCGCTCTTCCTGGATGGAATGAATAGTAAAGAAGCCAGAGGCTGATAAGTATGCAAGAAAGCCAGTCAGTGAAGATGTAAATTGAGGAGTCAGTGGGTAAAAGACTGGTTGGGGTGTGGGGCGTGGAAGGAGAATGAATGTAGCTGGTAAATAGAGGAGAGATACCTGGGGAGTCAGATGTTAGGCAGGTTGTAATGTGTCATAAATCCAGTGTCTATATTTAGTCCATTATTTTTTGTATCCAGTAGGTTGATGAAGTAAAGTTTGTAGGCTCGTCTGTGAAAGGTGTTTTGTAAATTCCCTTTGAGGATTGGAACTGAGAGATTGGAGAGAGAGTGGTTTTCTTGTGAGAAATGTGCCCCCACTGGTAATTAGGTATTCTTGTCTTTGATGGATTTCTGGTGTGCGTTCATTCTGGTATGCAGTTGTTGTTTGGTTTCTTATATATTTTCCATCAGGGCATTTAGTGCACTGGATGAGATATATAACATTTCTGGAGGTGCAGCTGTAAGATCCAGGAATGGGGTGGTTCTGTTATGGGGTGTAGTAATTGGTGGGGGGTGGGGGTGGAGATATGTTGACAAGTTTAACATTTCTTGTCAGGGCATGGACTGGATCCATTCAGTGTGTTTTGGGCCATAGGAAGTTTGCTTATGGTGATGAGGTTAGCGAGGTTTGGTGGTTGTTTGAAGGCTAGTAGGATGGGTAGTTCTGGGAAGATCTTGCATGCATACCAGCCTCTGGCTTCTTTACTGTTCTTTCTATCCAGGAAGAGCATAGACCAACTGCAGATGCTTCCGTAGCCTGACTAAGCATATTTGTACCCAAAAGCTGGCAAAGAAGATTTTTTCCAACTGTTTGAGTTGGTATGATTAGAAGATATCAGACTTACTCAAAGAACCTTGTCTGTCTACGTCCTTATACCAACACAGCTATAACCTGTACCCCTGAAACATGGAGGCTATCAGTAATACACATTTTAAAAAAGGGAAGCTTTTCATTCTTAGTATTAATACTACCCCCTTGTAGGAATTCACTTTTCCTCCTCTTAACTACTTATTAAACTGAAGGATGTTGCTTCACACAGGAAAGTGCATTCCTATCAGTTCAAGCCTTGAATAATACAGAACTGGTTGAGAGGTACAGAATTTGGGTCCAAAGGGTGAACATACTAGAATCTAGAGTTTGGGTTCAACTATCTTTACTGCACAGAAAACC